CCGCTGATGTCTGTCCGTGCCAGGCCCCAAAATAGAAACCCCTGAGAAAAAGCAGGAGCATCCCCGAGAAACTCGAGAAGTCTGTCCGGGATTCTGTTACACCAAGATTGGCTTCTGCTGGCTTCGCCCTGCTCTGAGTTCCCGCAAGCCTCCCTCCTCCTGCCTCTGCTTCTGAGTCACAGCAGCCAGCTCTGCTCTTCAGTGAGTTTTTTCTTAGAGGTGCTTTCTCTTTTCCTCCTTTTATCTATTGCTCTGCGTTTTTATTCTCATGTTTGTTTATTGGCACGTAGTGATTATAATCCGTTTCTCACGCAGTGTGACATTTCAGCACGTGCACATACGTGTAATGATTAGGTCAGGACAATTGGGCCGCCGCCCCTCGAACGCTGGCCCTGTCTGGGGTTGGGAACCCTCCACTTCCCCTTCTCTATGAGCCATGGTGAAACATTCCCTCAATTGTTGTTTTTATTTTAAATAAATAAAGCACCTCATGTATCAGATTCAGCTTTGCAAAAGGAGTGTCATTTCCATCTCTCATCGCCCCACACCTTTAATCTTATTTAAATCTTATTTTAATCTAGTCCAGGGACTAAGGACTAGCACTCACTAAGGCAAACCTCAGACACTGCAAGCTTGTGTGCTACTCCAAGTGACATTTCCTCAGATGTTTGCTGCCTTGCTGTGCAAACACAGTTATACATGAAACAAAGTAAAAACAAAAAAATTAAACAGCAGTTAGTGGTTGGATGTTATTCCCAATCTGGAACCACTGACCAGGCAGCTATAGAAAACTCTTTCCTCTGTTATTACAAAATAGCAATTTGTGGATGGTGCAAAGGAAACACAAGGAGATTTTCTTTTAACTCAAAATGCAGAAGTCGCGTGTGTATCATTATCTCTGCAGCTTCAGAGGGGTCATTTCCATCCGCGCCTCTCCTCGCCTCAAAGTCACCCTACCAGGCCAATGCCCAAGGCTGTGCTCAAGAAGACTCACCAAGCGGAAGAAGCTAGGGAGGCTGACACAGCACCCAGAGGTCGATGCGGGGACCAGAGCCGACATGAGGGCGGGTTGTGCCGATACAACAGCAGCGCCTCTGTGCCCAACTCTGCCTGCTCTGCGGTCCAGCCTTTGTTCAAAGACCACATTTTCAGCTCTTGTCAAGATGTGTGGAATCAATCTTCCCATAAGAAATCTTTTTCCACCTTTATCCTTACCAGAATTTGTCATGACCTCTGTGTACTGATGCAGACACAGGCAGTATCCATGGAACAGCTCACGTTCGTTGTGTACGACCTCCCAGGTAATGTTATATAAACCACCGTGATTCTACGAGAGGTGGTCAAAAACTTCACATGTTAGCGCTGCGCCTAACTGAGTTGTCTTCGTGTGGGCTTCTGTAAGGGAGGGACGTGAATTCATATAACCAGTGCAGCCCTCAACCCGAGCCCCTCGTCACCTTCCTGCCGAGTGGAGCGACTATCCTTGAAGAGCCACACATCTCAGAATATCCGGTGTCCAGTGGTCACGTCTGCTCCAGGTAGCCCATAGAGTCCAGTGAGATGGAGCGCTGGAGGCAGGGGGAGGCGGGGCCTCCATCAGGAAGCTGGTGGACATCACCTTCAGACCTGACTTCTTATCCTCAAGGAAACACAACTACACCAACTCCTTCCAATGGCCTCATCTTCATGATTGGTACTAAATTTGCAAACATGTTTTCTAGGTCTGTGAATACTAAGTGCACTAAATGAGGGGGAAAGCTCAGAGAGCTTGTCCCGGAGCCCTGATACACCTTGGGAGCTGAAGGACATGACCTCGGCTCAGCCTTAAAGTTGGCGTGGACAGAGCTTCCACCCAGATGAGCCTCGCTGTGCAGTGTGTGCCCCACCATTCAGAAGGCTTTCGGGTGCTTCTGGCTCCTGTTGGAAAAGCAAATAGCCCTTTCCTTCCAAGGAGCCCCTTTTTTGAGGAAGCCAATGCCGGTGTGGCCAGGGAGCACGGTGGCATCGTTCCAAGCCCGTCTCCTCAGCTCCTGATGCACTTCCACGCGGGTGCCAGGCAGTCTCCAGCTTCACTGTGGGCAGAGGGTTTCTGTCCTGCCTCTTGTTCGCACCTCGAGGACCAAGCGCCCAGGAAAGTCTCTGGACGACTCTGTAGCTCCCAGCGAGCAGCTCACATCCTCCCAGTCAGCTTGCTCCCCGGCCCCTCCTCCAGGCAAATCGACTCACAGATGTCTCACCTACAAAGACTTCCTTCCTCTTGGAGATGGTAAGAAAGAACATCCATGCTGCCGTTCGTAGTACCAGTAGCAAGGAAGGAAAATAATAAAGCTTACCATTGTTTTCAAAATAGGTATATATTTTAAATTTTAAACAGAATAAGAAATTGAGCTGCAAATCAAAAGTCAGATAAAGAACCAAAATAGAAAATAGCATGCCATAAAGCAGCAGAAATCCTGCCACGTTTTTTCCATAAAATTAAAAATTTAAATGAAATATGTGATTTTATAAAAGGCTTGCGAGGAGTGAGAGAATCAATTAAAATCTGGTGCCCCAACTTTGTACAGCTGATGGAAACAACAGTAAAAATTCAGGGGGGTCACCAGAGAGAAGCTGATAAAGAGATAATAGACAGATATTATGAAAAAATTAGGAATAAGGAGGACAGGCTAGAGAAACCTGAACAAAATGTGAATTTTTTTAAGAACTCAAAAGATTAATTGGAGGGTGTTAGACTTACAAAATACCACCAATATATGCACATTTTGTGTCACTGAAAAGAACAGGACAAATATAGCAGAAACAACATATTCAAAGATGTATCTCAAGAAAGCTTTCCTCAAATACAAGATTTGAACTACAGACAGTTAGAGGAATATCAATATCATATCAGTGCAGAAAATGCCTTTCAGCTAAACAAGAGAGCAGAAACCATAAATGAAATTATGGCAGATTTGTTGCATTCCATGAAATTTCCTGAGAAAAATTACACAACTTATTTGCTACATATTTACCACGATTAGAAGATACTGCTAATTGTCTTTCTTTTGTTTTTCCTGACAAACAATATCAGCTTTTGCTACATAATTAAAATCTTGTTCATTTCATCTGTCAAAATTTTCAATTCTTGTTTTTTTCTATAATTTTTTTAATCCTCCAACTAGGTGAACTGTTCATTGTGGAATTCCTGGTACTGGTACTGCTCAAACTGTTCCATTGGATCTTGTTCCTCATATTTTCTTTCTTATTTTTTGTTTTCTTGAGTAAACATCTAGAAATATTGTGCGAATAAGAATGCATAGGAAGATTTTTGTAGAAGCTTTTGTGAGTTTTTTTTTTAACATACTCTGATAATTTAGTTGTATATAGAATTTTAGATGGATTCAGTTTTAGATCTTGGAAAGAGTCCTGTCATACCTCAAACATCCACCTCTGGAGATGACAAGTTTGATGTTAGTGTCATTTTCACCCTCAAGAGGTAATATACTTTTGCCTTTAAAGATCTTGTCTTTACTGGGCTCACTTTGGTAGTACAAATGCTAAAACTGGAAAGATACAGACAGCATTAGCAAGGGTCCTGCACAAGGACAGCATATAAACTCATTAAGTGCATTTGTGACCATTTAGAAGTTCACCGTGTCCCATAAATTACTATTCTCCTGGGATTGATAGGTCTGGAGTTTAAACTGTTCCTATTCATTCTTCCCAATTCTCTTTTTTATTTTTTGTAAAATGTTGCTCACCTATTCTACTTAGGAACAAAGGGACTGTCGGCCTTTGGATGTGGCCCTTCTGCCTTCCTGGGCTCCTGGGAGTCCCTGTCCTAGAAGCGGTTGCCGGCCAGAGCCCCACCGTGAAGCCCTCCTGGCTCCCGGCTGCCCCGACACCAGAGAGCCTGGGGGAGAGGCGGAGAGCTCAGCAGCTTGGGCAGAGGGAGAGGCCCCTCTCAGTCTCCACGGCCTGTGCTCTCCTCAACATGGGGACGGTTCTGTCGGCCAGGCAGCCCCTTGCTCCTGGAGAGCGTTGAGACTGCAGGAGACGCAGCGCTGCTTCCCCGTAGCTCAGGTCTTATTGTTCTATTTGTCTATTGCCTCTCAGGCCTCTGCTTTGTACCTGCTGATTCTGAGCTCATTTTCTCCTCTTCTTTCATCCAGATTAGGCTGTACTATTTTCTGTGCATCTAGAAGCCAGGGTGGAGAATTTATAAATGAAATATGTAAGTAAGTAAGCCACTTGCCATTGTAATTTCAAGTAATGGCTATTATTGTGACAGAAATAAAATAAGGTGGAGGGAAGAGCGTACTTTACTTTGGTCTTGGAAGTGAGGGTTCAGTTTGATATAATTCTGTTGAAGGAAGAGCATGGGGGTCCCGAGTGTCTTGCTTTTGCCTCAGAGTTTCACATTATTTCTCGCGGTTGCGAGGGTGGTAACAGTGCAGGTAGCCTCATGTTTGAGCCAACTGATTTGAATGGTTGTTTTAGGCAGAGTTTAAAGCACACTTTTACCTAGAAAAAATGGGTTTAAGCAAATTAGAGTGGTTCTGTAATCACGGTAAATGGGAGGAGAGGGAGGAGTCTTTCAGTTTAATACAAAACCCTAAGTTCGATTATTACAAATCAGGAGTGTCTGCCTATGAAGCAGCCTCTGCAGTGCCCCACAAGCAGGGCTTCTGGCACCTGGGCTTTTGAAAATATAAAGCTAAAACTGCATTACTTTTAAAATATCCTTTAAAGCAGACTTCTTCGGTCTTTTTCCTTGTTAGTTCGAATTGGTGGGGTTTGACGAAATACCTGGAAATATACAGAGAGAACCAGATGTCGAAAGTCAGGAAACTAGAAAAACCCTCAATTTCACATAATTTCTGGCTCCATTGAGAAGACCCAAGGGGAGCAGCAATCTTCTTGTAAGTGTCTAAGGAAAGGTCCCGCTGAGAAGATGTCAGAAAATGCTGCAGGAGGAGGAGAGAGGAGCGGAGGTCTCCGGACTCACGGGCATACTCCTTTGCAGGAAAGAACACAGCGGCACGCTGCCCTTCTGAGCGCTCTGTTCGCCACCGTCAGGGTTCTCCATTTTCTTTCTCTTTCAACTCTTACTCAGCTCTCTAGCTGTGAGCAGACAGAAGCATTTTCTCCTCTGTGTGGGTAGTAAGTGCTAGACACCCACAGCTGCGAGAGGCCCCGTGGCCGAGTAAGTCTGGGAACTCACATTAAATCTGCTCCTTTCATCATTTCTTCTCATCTGTACTTGGCCAAGTGCACCGTGATTCTCTGATGGGAGAATAATGCGTGCAGATCCTGAAGCTGTCTGCGTAACTGTGTTTGGGGACTAAGGTCCCACTTTCTGGCACAAGACTTCAAGTACTCAGTGATCGGGGAAGTTGGAAATCTGGAAAACGAGCCCAAATGCTAGCAGAAGGCTCAGTCCATCTCGAACTGCGCTGTGATGTGCCATTTGAGGACCACCTGCGACAGAGGACAAGTCTTGTTTGTTTAATCCATTTCTAAATCAAATTTTTATAAAATGCAACATAAATATATGACAGTGAGAAAACAAAGATGCAAAATACATTCAAGTACATTTAGAAATTACATTCAACGACAAGAAAAGTAGTCTACTAAGTTGCTGGTGAAGTTTTCAAACCCAGATTGCCGATCTGTGTGCTTTGCCTCTGCAAGCCAGCAGCAGACACCTGGCTGGCCGTCCCATCACAGGGGACTGTGTGGCCCTGGGTGGAGCCCTCGTTCCTCAGGTCCTGGGCAGGCTGTGGGCTCCCGAGCCCCTGCTACCCACTTTCACCCACCACACACCTTAACCGCATCGGAATGCACAGCAGCCCGGGCTCCGTTACCCACTGTGACATCGGAGGGTTCCTCTCCTTGGCCGCTGTGACAGATTATCATGTCACCATTGATTTCCAGACCTGCAGACATCCCATCCAGGACAGGTCCCGTCCAGGGAGAATCGCTGCTGGCTGTGTGACTTGGTCACCCTGGAGATGCCTCTGTGCTGAATGCGAGCAGCAGGAGTTTAACGCTGCAGTCAGGCTTTTTTGAGAACATGTTATTTGTGGCATGGAGGAAGGAGGGTAAGCACACTTTGGGTTGAGTGGCTTTCGGGAATTCTTCCTCGCCTGTGCACTCACTTCCCTAGACCTGTCTGCTCTCTTCTCTTCTGTGTCCTTTCTCAGAAGCCTGGGGACCCACCCAGCCCTCAGCACAGACCCAGGACCCGCTCCTCACCTGTGCCCGCGCTGGGCTCGAGTGTACCTGACACACTGCTAACATCTGACTCTGTTCTCTGGATCAGGGGCAACAAGTGCAGGTGGGCCTTGCTTTCTCCTCTGCTGCTTTCCTGCTCCTACACCTCTTTTTTTCTTTCAAAAGTATTTTTACAGCATTTTTTATTTTTCAGCTTTACTGAGGTATCGTTAATAAAAAAAACTAGGTTAATTTAAGAAGGGGCCACGTGACACTTTGATTACATGTATTGTGTGAAACAATCACCGCGATCAATTTGGTGAGCACAATTACACCGCTTCACGTAGTTGCCCGCTTGCTGTTTGACCTGCTCTAGTTTGGGGCGAGGACATTTAAGAACTTTCAGATATACAATTCAGTATTGCCAAGTATATCGGCCAGTACAGAGCCTCTGAACTCATTCACAAGTGGAAGTTTTTACCCTTTTATCAGAGTGTCCCTTTCCCTCCTTCCTCTCGTGGCTACCATTCTGAGTCCAGCTTCATGTAGACTCTTCATGAAAGTGACACGGTTAGTATTTATCTTTGTGTACTGTGAATCCGAGTATCCGTCTTTGGCGGCGGATCTTACCTTCTATGCTGTACAGTGCGGCAGACGGCAGAAGGTAACAGGTCTCTCCAGGAAAGCTCGATCAGTGGTTTCCATTGGAAGAATCTGCAAGTCACGAGATGAAATTTCAGTGTGGAAGGAAGGGCTGTTTCCTGCACTCTCCCAATGGTGGGCTTCTCTGATTCCTAAAAGTAATACGGAGTTGATCATTTTTCTCTTTATTTGGATTTCTCAATCCGTATTCAGTTCTCAGATATCTGAGGGAATTTAAATTTGCCTGTTTCCTGTATATCATGAGTGTGTTCCACGGCAGTATTTTTAGAATGATACCGTGTGTGTCACCTCAAACAAATCATCATTCCTATTTGACTACTTATTTTCAAGGAGGCAAATAACTATGTAGCAAGCGCTAGGCCGAGTCGCTTTTGGTCTGCAAATCTTAAATGTGTCAGGAAAAGCTTGTAAAGTGGCAGAGAAGCCAGCTGCGCTTTGTTTGTCTCCTTCCTCGGGCTCAGAGTGGCCACGCTGATTACTCCACAAAGCGCAGCGCCGGGAGGCTCTGCATGGGGCTGGGGGAGGTAATCGCGCAGGTCAGACTGCGGTTTTAAAGCTGAGCTCGTGATTTCCTTTTGTGGGAAGCACAGCCGCCAGGTCAGCGGAGAGCCGGAGCCCCCAGGACAGCAGCTGTGCCTTCTCTTCGGCTCCCTTGTCCTTGAGGAGTTGCACAGAGGGCTCCACTGGAGAGTCACAGCGCACAGGAGTCAGAGCGTCTTGGGCCCGAGGACTGAGACCTCGCACGCTGCCCTCCGGGGCCCCGGGCACAGCCTCTGAGTGAGGAAGTACAGTGCTGCTGCTGGCAGAGGTGGCTGCCAGGCTTCCTCAGTCAGAACCCTATCGATCATCCTGGCCTTTTGCTGAGTGCAGAGGAGGAGGCACCCGAGCAGTATTCCCCACGGCCACACAGAACTAACTTCCCTGTCCTGAGTACGGAGCGCCGGCAGCGGGAGAGGGACGCGGGACCTCGGCAAGCCGCGCGTCCTAGACAGAGATCGCCTGGTCTCGGAAGGGAGACCTTCTCTTCACTCTGCTGAGGGACAAGTGACGGCCCCTGCTGCTTCATGGGAGAAGACGGTGGTCGGTGGCCCAGACGTGCCCCGGGTGAGAAGGACCGTTGCCCTCACAGCTCCAGGGAAGCCACGAGGCCTCCGCTGAGGTCGAGGTCCAGAAAGGAGGCAGTACTGCTGGAGCAATCGCACAATGAGAGCTCTCTGTGTGAGCGCGTGTATGTGTGCGTGCGTGCGTTTCCACATCCACACCCTCAAGAGAGGCACACGCACGTGGGGTAGGCGAGAGCCAAATAGCGGGTCCCAGGTTGGTTTCTGTGTCCTGCTACTCAGCAGCCAGAGGAGCTGACCACTCCCGTGTAGCTCAGTGAGGGACACAGGGCCCCAGGCCGCACACTGCACCCTGGACCGAGGGCTTCTCAAGGGCTCCTGGGCCCCAGGTACTGTGATGCTCACGTGGGATCCAGGGAGGCCTGCTCTTGGCAGAATTGCCTCTGCCCTTTCACATGCCCACCGCGGAAATAACCAGGACAGAGAGTTAGACAGAAACCGCCAAGGAATATATTTCAAGTCCCTTTTTGCTTCTTAATGTACAGAAAATGAAACCCTGAAATCGGCCAGCAGGAAAGGAGAACAACACGGCCCAGTCCACCCAGGGGTGGACAAGTTCTCCCTTCTGACTGCAGTGTTTGGACAAGTGGGGGGACTTTTTCCATTTTTTGAACATGATCCAATCCTGCTCAAAATTGGACTTAGCGTTGCTGTTTTAAACTTTTGCTCTAACTTCCAGAGCTTGAGAGCGAGCACCTCCACGACCCCTGACCTGCATTTCCTCGTGGCCCTGACATTAGGAGCCCCTTCGGTCCAGCTGTGAAGCCCCATGCCCAGCTGATCCGTCCAACTTAGGCAACAGATCAGGAGCTTGCGACAAGGCGAGGGCGATGGGCCTCTCTGAGCAGAGCAGACAGAGGGAGCGGCAGTCATGTGCCCAGAGGAGGGGACACAGCTGACCAGGCGGGCGGACGCTCCGTGGGACTGTGGCCTGCCCTCCCCTGTCCATGGCCGCCGAGGACATGCTGTCTTCTTTATTTCAAGCTCCACAAACCTAAGGGCCCTTCGATTCCTCCGCCGCCCTTTGGCCCAAGGTGCTCCCTTCCTCTTTATGCCGGAGTCACCGGCACTGGCTGAGGCAGTGGCTGCTGCCGTGCAGTGCAGTGCTGTCTGCTCTGGGGCCCAGCCCCACGCCCTGGGTGGCCCTCCCTCCACCACAGACCCAAAGCAGGGCTCCCGGGATGTTTCCTCAGTCCACTTCCTTGGCCGACGTGTATCCGCTTCTTTGATGGTTGATCCTAATGGATTTTAGATTTTCAAATTTCTCAGACCATTTGGGGGTTTGTACCAAACCTGTAACCATCGTTCGGTAAGAACTCCACCAGGCATCGGATAGGCAGTGTTCAGGTGTGGCGTTTACTTGCTGAATCAAAGAACGCGATCCATTCCCGCGCACGCACGTGGGTTGTCATTCCCGGGGAAGCCGAGACCCACGGGAACACTGGTGCACCTTTCCTGGATGCCTGCTACCTGCACATGATCGCCCAGACTTGAGAACAGCAGTGTTCTACCCATCCACCCGTGCTCTTCTTGTTTTGTCCGTAAGTGTGAAAGTGTGGAGCTGGAAGCCCCCCAAGTCTGCACTGCTCTTTCCCGTCCCCGTGCCCCGGCCAGGGTGACCGTCCACTAATGCCACACCTCGGGTCAGATGTCTGCAGTGAGGCACTGCCTCTGAACGGATGCTGGCAACGGGACATCAACAAACATCCTGAGTGCTCTCCAAGCCAGGCTCCTCCGGGACAGGGCTGGGAAAGCAGTGAGCACAGCAGAGCGTGCTTGCTCTCGTGGGGGTCACCTTCTGCTAGGAAGAGTTACACGAGAACCAGCATATTTCTGCTGTAAGCGTCATGGGCAGAAGAAATCAGGACAGAGGCAGAAGGGGCATGAGAAGTTCCTATGGGGTACTGGAGAGCAGACCCCAGGCCTTTGCACTAAGCTATATCCCTTGCCCTTAAATTTTTTTTATAAATTTTGAGATAAGTGCTCACTAAATTATCTAGACTGGACTGAAACTTGCAATTCTCCTTCCTGCCTCAGCCTCCCAGAATGCTGGTGTGCAGATGGGCTGCCCCCAGACCAAGTTCAAAGTTCAGTGTGGAATGTTTATGGGGCACCTGCCTCACGCCACATGCTGTGTGGACACTGTGTGTAGGACACCGACTAACACACAAATAAAACGTTTTAGTCAAGGGCTTATGTCCTGACAGAAGGAAGCAGAATAAAATACGTGGTATGGGAAATGAGATTGAGCACTGGGGTAAGAAGGGAGAGGCAGCAGGCTGGGAGGCGTGTGACTGTGGAAACACCGCGGCTGATCATCAGAAGGCTGTGTTTGTAGACCGACTAACCGGGCCCTACGGTGGCCGGACACAGCCCCTCCTGGGTCAGTGTGGCCTGCTCACGTGGTCAAGGCGGATGATGGGCCTTTTGTCTCGGAGAAACATGGGCTTCGGGGTCTTTGCGTCTTTCTGTGTTCTCTTCTTGTCTGTAGCCTGATAGCATCTATTTTTTTCCTTTCGTAGTACTTCCGTGTTTTATTACATTTTCAGTTATTTTATTCCAAAACACAAAACAGTCATCACACACAGAAACAGGAGCTGCCATTAAGTTCTGATAGCTTTTTTATTTAATACTGAAAACAGATTTTCACCATGAGCTCTGAGTTGGATAAACTGAGAAGCAGAGTTGTTGTTCCAGATCGATCAAGGGATTGGATGTGTTA